AAACCCTTGGCAACAGAAACATATTCAGCTTTTTTTTAATCGACCCAATTTACATAGTAATGGACGACTTCGTACATTTTATGATCGCAAATAAAATATGTATATAATATACTGTGCACTGTAGTTCGTATATATACTGAGACCCTTTGGCAACCCCACAGTTTAAATGTTTATAATAAATACGTCGTGAGTTGTGGGCGTTACAGACGAACGTTCACCTAATCTGACCCAGTCAATGGGATATTTTAGCGCGCCAATCAATGGTCTCGGCTACACTGTTTTGCACATGATTCTAATATTTCAAGCTCTCAATCTTCCCGCCTCTATTAAACAGACGTCTATATAATATGCCAAGCTCTGAATCATCCCGCCTCCATTAAACAGACGTCTATATAATATGCCAAGCTCTCAATCTTCCCGCCTCTATTAAACAGACGTCTATATAATATGCCAAGCTCTCAATCTTCCCGCCTCTATTAAACAGAAGTCTATATAATATGCCAAGCACTCAATCTTCCCGCCTCTATTAAACAGACGTCTATATAATATGCCAAGCTCTGAATCATCCCGCCTCTATTAAACAGACGTCTATATAATATGTCAAGCTCTCAATCTTTCCGCCTTTATTAAACAGACGTCTATATAATATGCCAAGCTCTCAATCTTCCCGCCTCTATTAAACAGACGTCTGTATAATATGTCAAGCTCTCAATCTTCCCGCCTCTATTAAACAGACGTCTGTATAATATATCAAGCTCTCAATCTTCCCGCCTCTATTTAACAGACGTCTATATAATATGTCAAGCTCTCAATCTTCCCGCCTCTATTAAACAGACGTCTATATATTATGCCAAGCTCTGAATCTTCCCGCGTCTATTAAACAGAAACAATCAGAGATATATTTGGAAATTTCATTGAAAGAAAAACCTTATTCTTCTTTGATTCTACTTGCTACAACTTAAATAATTGTCCTAAAAACAACGTCTAGATATTTTTTTCCTTTTGCCAAATTTCATGACAGTAGGGATTAGAAAAAAATAGCACATTTTATAGTAGTATATAATAAGGCACCGGGATGAGTAAATATAAATCAATCCCAAAGAGAAAAAAAACAAACGGCCTGATGTATACTTCAACAATAATCAACAATGATTTAAAATAAAACACAATTAGGGCAGACGATAACAAACGAAAACCAATGGGTAACTGGATATTGGCTTGGAACATGCAAATAAGGAATGGGTTGAACATGATTTAAACGCTAAACTCTCTCCAAACTTTGGACAGTGGTGTAAAGGCACACAAAAAAACTAACTGGAAAAATTTGACAAATGAATTTCTGCACTGAAGTGTCAAACTTTATAATACTAATCATTTATCAATTGAATTATAACAATTTTATAGAAAGGCGAAAGATACCAAAAGGACATTCATGATAGGATTTTACAGATAATGGCCATGCAAATCAACACTAAAATCTGTTTATTGTCAAAAACAATAAAATATCAGAAAAAAAATGATAAAACTCTTGACATAAACTTGTGGCTTCGTCTAACAACGTTAGACGTATCCATTCATCCCTTGTTTTCTTCTCAATAGAGAGCTGTCAGCAAATACAAAATGCACCGTATAAACTAAAGCAGAGAAAGTTTTATATTTTTCTCCAAAAATTACCGGTACCCAAGAAGGAAAAACATCAATGAATAAAATACGATTAAATAAAATCATATTATGTCAATACAGGTTTGAGCTTTAAAGCGTTTTCTTCGAACATTAAAGCAATGGTCTTAATAAATAGTATTAAATTAACCTCCATAAACATCAGAAAGAAAAAAAGTGTATTAATGCTAGCTATTCACAAAGTATACAATAAGGAACCTCGAAATATCAATAAAATTAATAACCTGCTTTATCAATAGAACAATTAGTAATAAAGCAAATAAAACTAGACAGAAGAAACCTAGAGGGCAATCGAAAGTTCAATAGATACCAACATCATGACCAAAATAATCAAAGTACTGAGGTACTGAACATCGGATGACCGCAAGTTCTTGTGGCTGGTCACAAGCACTTGTCTCAGAAAAAAATCACATCTCTATACCTTAAAGTGAGATTAAGGTACATAGATATATTTTTTTCTGAGACAAGTTCGTGCGTGGATGATGAATAAACGACAGGGAATTCAACCTCACCGTAATAACTATTATATTGTAGTGATACAAATCAGTATACTCTGGTTTGTTGTTATATATTATATTAATATTTGTATATAACAGCTACATGTATATATAATTTTCATCCATTTGTATATCATTCTATTCTACTATTCTAATAATAGTGCAGTGCAAGTGCATGGTGGACACTCTTCTGTAATAATTCGATTTTTCTAATAGATTGGATTTGAATAGGCATTCATATTTTCCCGCAAAACGTTCTTGAGATATTCTTCCGCATGCGTTAAGACAAATTTTCGGTATTCTTGATTTGTTATTGATATATATATTTCTCACCACAAAACATTTTCATATCATTTATCTATGTTCTTAAAAATTATTTTCAAGAATATTTATTGATGAAATTGATATATAACAAGCGATAAGGAATGTTATTTTGCGTTCGGTTATCAATTAAAAAACGAAAATCACGTGGGTAAAAATGTATGTGGCAACAATACACGGAATGCCCTCACGGTCATCCGATGTAAAAATAACAATAAAAACTAACAATAACGAAACATTACAGAGAAAACCAGAGGTTGACCAGTCGCAGTCGGTTATATCACAATTAAATCCAACATTCCCGCTGTCACTTGCTACACAGACAGTGTTGAAGGAATCATATTAAATGACATTTATATCAATTCGTGTCGAAGATTTCATCTTGCGAATCTTTATTAGTTTCAAAACATGGAAGTGATTATGGAGTCATGAAACTTTGTTTTACTTGTCGTTTCTCTGTTGTCTTACTTCGATAGTGGTGGTACAGATCATTTCCAAAGTTCTATTTGGGTTGTTTTTCAAAGTATTCACTCGTTTTTATACGATAGCCATTACAAATTGAAAAAAAAAGATTGATTGTCACAGTATCTCGGTTTCTGCACTAACTGGAGTCATTATATCTCTGACTAAGGTTCCGAATGCCATTTATCGTCAATCTGACATCAGTATTGAATGTTTAGGTATCTGGCTTTCATACTTGCTACTGTGAATGATATTCGTATGAATTGTTAGTCATAAATGGAATGTTTCTCCCTCAGTTAACCTCATTTAATTTTGTTTTGGAGTTCATTTAATTATTTTAACTGCGATGGTTGTCTATGTGTAGTTTCCCTCATATATTTATAATAGAAATACGAAAGAACCATCAAACATGTATCCCTAGACTTTAAATAATTCATCTGCTATTGGTATATAAATAATGATATGTCAATTTTTTGCCATCTTGAATTATAAAATCAATAAGTAATATAAATCCATCAAACAACATCCTTTTAAATATTATTATTTGTGTTCAATTGTTTCTTAAATATTTGAATCAGGACTTTAAACTGCACTTTCATACTGTAAAAACTACCATAAAGCCTCATTTTGATAGCTTGTCATTGGTATTTAGATAGGAGCCAAAGTCTTACCATACATTATATTTATCTACAAGGTGTCTTATACCAAGATTCGAATCTGGGTAAAATATGTGTTGGTAAGTCCTAGGATTCTATCTTATTTGTCCACAACATATGATTAGAATCAACATCTTTGGTCAATTATCATATTTATTGATCATAGAACTTGATTTTGAATGGATCATTGAAGCATTTTATTATTTTTGGAATTTCTCGGGCCATACAATGATTCTTATCCTAATTCCTCCATTATCAAGGATTTTTAACTTTCAAAATTTATACCGGTACCGAATTTTGTTTAAAAAAGCTAATCCAGCAGGCTTTAATACTGATTGACAACCAAACAAGTTTTAGAACTCATTCCTCATTTAAAAAAGCAAATTTACAAAATTCGTTATCTAGGTCCCTGTTCATTGTCATTTGAAGTGTGTGGCAATTGAAATGGTTCATTGAATGGAATTTTATTCGATAAGTTTCATTTTCCTCGATAGACAAGTAGCGGCCACTTACTGCGTCAGCAAACTATGCAATTTGAAATATGTGATATGAAAATTTGCGATAAATACAGAATCCCTGAATTCTAGCTTACCCAACATCTCTGAAGCTAAAACTTTTATCTGTCATGGGATATAGAAATCAACAAAAGTTAAAACTGAAACATAACATGTGTTTGGTTTTCTTTGAAATACAAATATCAACATTCATAACAAAACATTTTGACACATCTGCATTTGATGACTTCTGTAATTTATACAAAACTAAAGTTGACATTTCCTCAGAGATTGGATAGTCTTTTGGCACTACACTTTACATAAACCTACACAAATTCTTTTACATCTTGTCTTTCAAGTCTTTGAACTCACGCCGTTAACCCCGAATAAAATTTCGAAAAGTTCAAATTTCACAGACTACAACTGGTGATTAGCATTATTCTTAGAAATTATGTAACCCAAATTATGAGTGGTCATATGTTCATTTCCTAAGACGTGATGGTTCAGTCATGCAATTGTCTGTAACCGGAGAGCATGATTCTTATGAGAAAATCACTAAGTATCTACTAATGAAGGGAAGCAATCCCGTCACAGATCATTTAAACGATTTTCACTACTGTTTGTACAGTTTCCTACGTATCTGTACACGTGTTTGATCTTCTAATGTAAATTATTCATAAATAATGTCAACGAAGCATAATGTATTTTTGAATTTCCTCATGCAAAATTATTTCAGAGATGAATATCCTATTTGGTAAAATGTCTGTAATATATACACTAATGTACAAGTAAATATTTGTATTTATATTGTTAACGTTAAAAAAATAAAAAGGGAAAAGGAAATGTATGATGTGGTCATATCCTATCATGTACATAGTGTTGGTCTCATTTAGTTATGTAAATGTGATAAATGTTTTGTGTCTCGATAAAGTCAAAGAAGATATGCATGGACTGTTTTTGTTTCAGATTTGGATCAGTTTTATACTGACAAAATTCGTCTACATGGAAAGAAACTGTAAGTTTAAATTATATTTTTTTGGAATTTCCTTTTCTCTTACATCTTGTCCTCCCCATCTGTTTATCTCTCCATAAAAAAGTTTTATCAATGCAAAATTTCCGACAAGTGACACATTATTTTAACGAACTTGACGGAACTACTTTACAGCTGACATATGATTAGAACAAAAACTTTACATTACTTTACAATGTTTAGTTGTGTCAATAGTCTGAACGATTTTGAGCTTGAAAAATTGTATTAGCACTTGGCCGATGTCTAAGACTGTATGCTGGCCTCATGATGTGTTTTGGCTATTTTGTCGTAGATTTGCTGTCTCATTGACGAATATCCCATATTTCCTTTTATTCATACCTGAAAACTTTTGAAGGGATAAATTTATTTGTTCATTGGTTCAATAGCTTCCTTGTAATCAGCAACTTACTATCAAGAAATTCATGATAGGAAAAACAAGCACTAATATATCGCGATCGTATATAGAAACAACGTATTTTTACATATGGTGAAGATTGTCTACACAAATCGTCAAAAGAATGAAACTTGATATGATTTCTTTACACAATTGGTAGGTATGCACCTGTGTATTTTCATAAGAATGATTTTCTGTGATTTATCCGTTTCAAAACATGGTATTTCATTTCTTCAAATACACAAGTTTGACAAAGCTCTATTGTCAATAACTTTCATTGGAATTACCTTCGTGTATAGTTTGCAACCTCTATTTCGTTTTTTTTTTTTTATCAAGATTACATATGGAAAAAATTGTCAGCAGAAAATTTCCTGCAGTTTACATTGAAGAAAGAGAATAAAGGGAAGATATCAAAGGGGTCAATCAATTTGTTTTATTTCGATTAATGATTTTTTATCGACCCCTTTGCTATCTTCCCTCTATTGTTCAATGTGAACCTTTTTGACCAGTGATCGCAGCGAACGAGCAAAAAAGCTTCACATTGTTTCGAGGGGCTGAAATTTTAAGATATCTATACGTAGAAAACAACCTGATAATCTGTTTATCGTTCTATTGCTGGTCTTTTCCCGATCCCTTGGATAGTTTACACTTGATGAAAGCAAGCTTGATAACGTCTCCTCTCACATTGTGACATTGCTGATAACTTCTCCTCAGACATTGTGACGTCGCTGATAATACCTGTTCACCTCTCAAACTGTGATACGAGAATTACGGAGCGACTGAGCAGGGTGATATAGGCGAAGAGAAGAACAATAACACTCCATAGCGGATTGGTAAAACTCATATCTTTACTCTAAGACATCACCGAATTCATAAATCATCGGTCATGAAAATTATGTAACCCTAAAACTAAGCCGAATATTTTATCAAGTTTTGGATAGAGACAGCAGAGACAAACGATATATTTGTTAATCTAATGATTGATATAAAAAGGAGTTGGTGTAGATTTCAAAAACTAGTTTAAATCTTTTGACGAACACGTCCCCTCAACGTTACAATTTTATGTCAATAAAAAAGTCAAGCATCTTTGCGATTTCAATTTCAGAGATATTTTTATTTGAAAGTGAGTGTTTTTATTTTTACAAAGTATGATTTGTCCCTTCCTTACATTGTGTGACATGGCTATTATTTTTTCACTAAACAAAGTTAGACTACTTTTTTCAACCTGTCTGTATGTTGAGAATATGGAATACTAGTGTAAAGCATAGAGAAGTCAAATGTGTTATATCATTGCACGAGGAGAGGGACTTATACTAAATATATTTTAATATATAATAATGGGATGTGATTAACAAACAAATAACTATATTGGGTTTGGGTTTGTATGCGTCGACAATGACATATTTGTTATGACGATAGGACAGGTTTGTTGCAACATTTGAGTATTTGAAGAAAGACGAAGTACGAGGGTTCATTTAGACCCATTACGTTTGTAATTCTAATTTGTTTCAAAGATCGCATAGCCTCAACTAATTCGAAACGAGTATCAACGACTATGAATGTGGTTTGATAAAACAATATTCTATAGTTGTTGTCCTTTGTAATAACACGTATAATATGATCATATTCCTTAGGTAATCTCGTGATCGAGAGTTTGAAAGCCAAAATATATATAACAAGGACAGTTTTCAAATAGACCCTGCTTTTATTCGAATCACTGCAAAAACAAACAAAATAAAAATGTTTTATAACTTATTAAGTTTAAATGCCTAGAATTACACCATCTGGTTAGTTTACTCAAGGGATAAGTCATTAAATGTTATATGACGTCAAAATATTTGCTACCGCATAAATTTTCGACATAATATAAACAACAAATACCACTTATATAAATGAAGAGTCCTACCGAATAACATGGCACAAAGATCATCAGTGGGACTATTTATCGACCGTGCATAAGAATATTATTAAGTTCTCTAAGGTTAAATCAGAAAAAAATGCTTAATCTGTAATCGATTTATTTGTACTGTTAAAGGACTTTTTAGAATTGATGTTCATGTAAAATGTTTAAAATATAATGAACAAAGTCATCAACTACTTCCTATGTTAATTGACATTAAAAGAGTTTTTTTCAAACCGATCTTGTAACCATTGTAGTGACAGCAATTCTGTGTGAACAGCAAACAGTGTCATTAAAATGTGACGAAGGAACTAGGATTCATATCAGTGAGGTACATTTTGGACAAAAAGAAGAAGTCTTATCTCTCGCCAATACAACGCCGACCAAAGATGAAAATACAACGAGGGAAATTGTTGAGTTATTATGCAATACGCACAATACTTGCCGCATTGATAACAGTCTAAATAATTTTACTGGTTTTCTGTCACTGGTTCCAAGAAAAATTAGTTTCACGTACAGATGTGGTGAGTGTTTCTTTAAATGTTTAAGATGACAATTTCAAATACAAATGTAAATATGTTTTTCTGTGCATTCAAGGATTCAAGTATAATTGTATATTAAAAGGATAAGTTAATTTTTGGTTTTTATGCCTCTATAATTCGGCAAAATAAATAAACAGTGGAATGATTCAACCTAACAACACAAAAAACACCTACAGGTCAACATAAAGTCACCACAAATTTAAAATGTTTTTTTTTCTGTTCATTCAAAGAATCTTAGTCTAGTTTTATATTAAAAGGATAAGATAATTTTTGGTTTAATTGGCCTTTTTTATTCGCCCTAATAAAACACAAATGGTGTGATTCAAAAACTTAGCAACACTAAAAGACAGCTATAGGTCAACATACAGTCTTCAAAAGTAGATAATGTGTACTTACCAGTTTACGGTCTGATTAAAATCATTTTCATGATAATAAAATAAAACAAAATTAATTCTTATATTTATGAACATTTTTGTAACTACAACCATCATTTCAGAATTTGAATATCATGGTTGTTTCACAGATGAGATGGAATATGGTCTGTATAGTCGTGGATTTTTCTTAGCCGACAACATGTCTGCAAAAATTTGCTATTATATATGCAACACAGGACACGTCTCTCGTCAATTTTTTGCTACAGAGGTAATTTTGTATATGTTTATGTCTTACTCATAATTTTTGATACCTTAGTTTTTGTTTCCACATCATTTACCACCTGTTCAACTTCATTTGAACATAAAGTACCGAGTGAAGTACTCGCAATACGTGTATCTGGAATAAACTACATTAGGTACCCTCGAGATCAAATAAATTAAGCTTCATGTAAGAGTCATGTAGCTCTTCAACTGTTTCGTTTCTAATACATCCTTGGGTTTCAAATATTCGGCTTTGATAGTTTCTGATGAAGGTAAATCTAGAAAAGCGCTTCGGACGCATGAAATTTATAAAGTGTTGTTTTCACTTTTTACACGTACTTTTTGGACAAAATAGATATAAGCCTTACACAAAAAGATATTTTACAAACATTACTATCTGTGAAAATACATCCTTTAGCAAAATATCTTTTTGGTATAACTGTTGCTCATATCTGAAAATTATTGACAATGTCTCAAAATGAGGGTATTTTGGCAGTTTCTTCAGTTTTGCACTAACTTCAAATTTTTTAGGCCCGCACGCGAATATGCAAGCAATATTCAGAAAGTAAATACTTATGTCCTATGATCATCTGAAGGATGTTATTTTGTAGATTTATGATACTTTTTATTATCGATTTCAAGGGACCAAAAAAGTGGCATTATCATAACAACTTCTTTGCCGAAAAGAGTTGCAACATCAATTTTGTTTAGACGAAATGCATGTATGGTTTGAAATGCTAAACAAAACAAACTACAGCAAGCAACTCATTGGGTGTCACACAGTACTTTTGTTCTGATTTTGAAAGAGTACGGCTAGCGTAAGCCAGAACATGTTCTAGCCCTTCAGCTTAGGCCCGACCACACAGTTATTTCGTAGTGCATTTCTTTTAGACAATATATTCAAATTAAAAAATCGCACCTACCCTATCTCAAAAAGATTTTTACAGTGTAGTGTACTACCTTTGGGACAAATTATATCAAAATTATAGAAAAGTCTACCAGCTCTAACTCAAAATATTGACCATTCTATATTAAGGGGGTTTATGATTCAGTTTGACAGCTTCAGAAATACTAATTTTTGACCTATTTCAACTGGACCAAATCGTTATTTTACCTAAAAATATATCACCCAAATTTTTTTAACATGTAATTTCACCCCCTACTTAATATTTCATGCAGAAATTAAAAAGAAATAAATTTGGAAAGTGTATGAAAAAAAAATACAAATTATACACTGTCCACACTAGGGACTATATAAGATGCCAATAAGACGATGTCGTCCGCATATAAAAGTAACGAAAGCGTAGAGTCACCAATATTTACACCAAGTCTGAGACTGTTTACTTCCTGTACCAGGTCGTTGATAAAAATTGAAAAAAAACGTTGGAGATATATTATTCCCTTGTTTAACCCCAGAACTACATACGAACCAATGTGAAAGTCTGTTGTTCACACGAACACAAGCAGAAGTACTAAGGTAAATGTTTTTAATTGAGTTGTACATTTTCCCATCAATGTTATTTAACAGAAGCTTATATAACAACAAATCTCGGTCAACAAAATCGAACGCTTTCTTAAGATCAATGAAAGTTGCGAATGAAGTCTTGTGGTTTCTCGATACAGCATTAAGAGTAAATACATGATCCTCACACGATCGATCGGAGCGAAAACCATTTTGTTCGTCTGATAAAATATCGTTGGACTCTAAATAGGATGATAATCGACTGTTGATGAATGCACTGTAAAGTTTTGATATACAAGAAAGTAAACTAATTCCTCGGTAATTGAGAGGTACACCTGTATCAGCAGATATGTCTTTTAGAATCGGACAAAGTATAGCCTGTCTCCAAACAGACGGAATGATACTGGTACAAAAATCAATTGAAACAATGAATGAATCACGGATACTACAGGTTCATATTTCAGCACTTCGTACGGAATACTATCTATACCACAACTTTTAACGTTTTTTGTTTTGTAAACAAGCCGTCTAATTTCTTCGATGGTTCTTGATTTTCATTATAAAGCGGGTCAAGCATTTTGTCCTCTAATGACGATTTGAGTTTTGAAGCTTGCCTGTAAAATTCATCGTCGAAGTTTTGAAGCGGCATTATCCATATTGTATATTTTCTGAAAGTCCGTTTTCCATTTACTCAATATAGTTTCATCATCCGTGAGAATCGTTCCATCTTCGCCGTATACCTCCATCGGGATTTGTTGGGATCTACGAGGTCCGAGTTTTTTTTATTTTGTTCCAAAAGTCATTAGGGTTCGATGTTGTCATGTTTTCAATTTCAACACAAAACGAATGTCTAAATTGTCGTTCACATCGCTTTAAATTGCGGTCGAAATTTTTTTGGGCAGTATGAAATTCTTCACGGAGTTTACGTTTAACGGACAAGTTACCTCTAAATTGAAGAAATCCTTTTTCTCTATTACGCATAGAATGCCACAGTGAACCAAGATAGTCATTCCAATAAGGTTTTCCTACTTTAAAACGTTTACTTGTCCTTCTACTAGTGTCGAAAACTAGAATTTTAGCGTTCATTTCGTCAATGATTATATTACACAAATCTGAATATATATTATTCATATTAGTCTGAGTTTCTCTCGTGGTTTCTATTCTGTATATCAGTTTGCAAGGCGGTTTTACGCATATCCGACGCTAGGAAATCATTTGGGATCGAGTTTAATTTGTATCGTTTTGGCAAAGAACACGTAGCTTGGCATGATTCTTTAGCTTCCTCGTAGGAAATGAATTCAAATAACCATGTACCGTAATTACAGGTCTTCGTCGTCATAGACTTATGAAAAATGACAAAAAGCAAGAAATCGTGCCTACTTATATACGACTATGAAAGCCGTGCTATTCTTGAAGGAGGGGTGTTTCCTTAGTTCCTCATTACTTATATAAGAGTTTCCTTTGAAACACCCCTTCACATTTGACCTAACCCAATATTTACCCGCGAAATATCTTGTTCATTTCTCCCTTTTATCAAAGTATGTACAAATACTTAAAATAAAGCTTCTACCGAACTGTAACTAATGTAAACTTTCTAATCTATGATACAAAATCATCACACTTACAACCTCGGGATTGGTTTATGTTAGATAGTTGTCTCATTGATAATCATACGACATCTTTTTATTTTTATATTGTCATCAAGATGTGAACTAATATTCTTTTAATTTTTGAATACTTTTCATGTTTGAGTCCCAAATGGCCAAATGGGAAGTTTGAATGATTTTATTCAGGTGCAACACACATATCTATAAATCTGCAGGTCCTTTGTTGAATAGAAAATAACCAAGCATGCATATAATCTTTTACCCAATCTTTTTATAATTTTGTGAAAATCAAATTAATTCGGTTGTCATTTTTAATCAGACATTTAAATTTCTTGTATACAGTTCAGCTAAACAAAGATTGCAATCAGGTTCAAAATGAGGTCACAACTCTTATCCACAACGCCTCAAAAAAAAGAAAGTCTTTAACAGAAACAGCTTCTGTTCATTTTTTACGAGCAAGCAATTTGATATGAATGGTTACAGTATCATATGTAGTTGGTTGTTTATTTTGGGGAAGGGAAAAAAATGTCAGACTCGCTTTAACTGTTGTAGAATGGCGATCAATGTTTTTGTGGTGGTACCATAGGCCTGAGTAAGCTAGAGAAAAGGAAACAGAAAGAAAACAAATGTGAAACTCCATGCGTGTCAAACGAAAATGAAATGTGTGGATCCATAAACAAAGCGTCAGTTTACGTGTTTGAAACAGGTATTTTTTCTAATTGAAATGAGGAGATGTGGTATGATTGCCAATGAGACAACTATCCACCAAAGTTGAACTTTTCTTGTCGTTTTATGTCTATGACTGAATAATTTATTATAATAGATTATAATAGGAAATTTATTATGGGGTAATAGTAGATTTCTAGTATTCGTTATCATATTCGTTAAAAGTGCACTGCATAGAATACTAGTACATTGAGATAGCCTGCAAGTACTATAACTTAAAGCTAAAATTATATCACACTGTACAAAAGAATGATATTCATTATTATCTTTCATAGATAGACAAGGCTTAAATAAACAGTTATCAAAGGTACCAGGCTTATAATTTTATACGCCAGACGCGCGTTTCGTCTACATAAGACTCATCAGTGACGCTCAGATCAAAATAGTTAGAAAGCCAAAACAAGTACAAAGTTGAAGAGCATTGAGGACCCAAAATTCCAAAAAGTTGTGCCAAATACGTCTAAGGTAATCTATGCCTGGGATAAATAAATCCTTAGTATTTCGAATAATTCTTACTTTTGCAAACAGTAAATTTATAAAAATGGCCATATAGTTGATATTCATGTCAACACCGAAGTGCTGACTACTGGGCTGTTGATACCCTCGGGGACGAAACGTCCACCAGCAGTGGCATCGACCCAGTGGTGTAAATAGTTATCAATAGTACCAGGCTTATAATTTTATACGCCAGATGCGCGTTTTGTCTACATAAGACTCATCAGTGACGCTCAGATCAAAATAGTTAGAAAGCCTAAACAAGTACTAGTACAAAGTTTAAGAGCATTGAGGACCCAACATTCCAAAAAGTTGTGCCAAATACGGCTAAGGTAATAAACACCTCTTGACACAGAACGTTTAAAAAATAGAGTTGGAAAGTAGGAATGTTATGCGTCCAACGTGCTTTTCTGGGTTTAACTTCATGAGGAGCGCTCAAACCCTAAACTTTTAAAGCCAAGGTTGTGTAAATATTTGATGATCTATATGACCTTAAAGGACCAACAACAATGATCAAAGACGTCCTGCAAGATCCATAAAATTAATTACGTCAATTTCATGCATGTACCATCACTTTGTCATATTGCAAATTTCTTTTTATTCAAATTCCCTTTGTAGATAAACAACAAATTGATTCAGCCTATACAACGCAGATGAATTTGCATAGTTGTCACTACGGTTCAGAAATGAAAGACATCTACATTAAATCACTCGAAAGATCCGAACATTGTGATGATCTGGCTAATACCACTCTGTCAGATACTCAAAATTGCTACAGAAAATTTTACTGTTTTAATTCGTCAATAGATATCCGTAATATTACAGAGGATTTCCGTTTCTTATTCTTAAGAAAGTATATGAAGATTACCTATTCTTGCTTAGGTGAGTTGTAGTTTGTGGGGATTGAACTGAATTAACCAGGCCCCATAAAAAGAAACCACTTCATTTGAAAATATACCTTCGGGTTAAGTGCATTGATATTTCCTTTTCTTCATGACACCATACACTTACATACTTGAAGGAAGGGGCAAAGAGCATAAACTATTTTAAAAAACAAGCGATAAAAAGCTTCATTTTAAATTAGAGATTCACTGTTATTTACGAATTTTTCGATAAGAGACGCCTAAAATAAAGTTTCCTGGAGACTTGTTTATTTGAGGTTTCATTTCTTTTTTTTAATCCATTCGTATTATGTGTCCTAATTTACTCTGCCTTATCTTTGCGGTCTTGAGATACAAATGTATTTGTTTAGAATGACTATTCTTTTTTCATACACATTTTGTAAAACCCTCAAAACCGTTTTTTACGAGTAATATTAATCATTTTTCAATTTCTTTTTTTTATCTTTGTCTAGGAGATTCCAATGCCCCTGTTGGTTCATTACAGTCAATAAACGGAAGTATAGGTTCACATAACAACAATATAATGAATAGTGTTCCTGTAGGATCATTACACTCAATAAACGCAAGTACGAATTCAAATAAAAACCAAATAGCAAATAGGGTATTTATATAGATTCAACTTTTTTTTAAGTTGTTTGCATATATTCAGTTATATGTAATCAACTATTTTAACCCATATGCATTAATTTTAAAGTGTGGTTAATGATTATAGACGTTGACGTTTGATTAAGTTCTGACATTTTATTTGTGTAGTTACTATACTATATATAAAAATATTGGTTTTTTTAGCCGAATGGGTGGGAAAATAGTCCGATTTTTGCCAACAGTAAGGAGAGAAATATGGATAATGTATAAATACGAGGACCGGATCCAATCTATCTTTGTATAAAATCTGTTATTATTTTCTGTTATTTGATTTCTAAAAGCGTTCCGTTTTTGTATGATTTCCGTTTTAGTACACAGTTCAAAAATAGATATTTCTACAATTAAAACTCTGATTGGTTGGATCAATGTAAAGATCCGAATGACTACTTGCCACACACGAAAGTTTTCTTTTTTCATTTGCTCAAAAAGTATTCCATAAATAAAACACTTTGATGAGGTATTATATCAAACATTTAAAAAAGAAAACTAAGATTTATGGCATGCCTAATTAGATATAAGAAGATGTGGTATGAGTGCCAATGAGACAACTCTCCATCCAAGTCAAAATTTATAAAAGTAAACCATTATAGGTCACAGTACGGTCTTCAACACGGAGCCTTGGATCACACCGAACAGTAAGCTATAAAGGGCCCCAAAAAATTACTAGTGTAAAACCATTCAAACGGGAAAACCAACGGTTTTATATATTTACTGGCATCGTTATAGGTTTCGTTTCGTTATCTTAATGATAACGTGTAGTGTCTGTAAATCATATATCTTATGGTTTTTAGATGCAGTGATATATTTTCAGGTATTGTTGGTGGCGTGGTCGGAGCTGTTATCCTTACTGTTTGCATCGTTTTTCTTACCTTGTGTCTGGTTAAAAGGTAAGGTAATTGTTCTATCTATTAACTGTAAAATTACAATAGTAAGTCAAACTAAAATTCGGGATTGAATTGAATAATGCGATTTCCCCCTTTCGAAAACTCGAAAAGTTGTGACATATTTGTTATAGAATCTAAATCATTTACTCTTCATTTGGATATAAATTCTATGAGACGATTGCATAATTATGCTCTTATATGGTATCGGTTAATTGTCGTAACAATGTCTTAATACGATTTTAATCAAAATAATTGTTTTAAACAAAACATCGAATTACCATACTCACGAGGTTTTTTATGATAAAAACGAGAGGTCGCGTAAACGAAAATGAAACGAAACACATTATTTCATTAGCTATATTAATTTGAAGTGGGTTGTTTTGTTGATGAAACGGATATTCATCAATCTAATTGATATATAGATATGTGATTTCGCTATGATCGACGAGTAAGCGAGTTAAAATAGATCTGAATCTGATGCAAATATCTTCTCATCATATAAAATAAAGGCAACAGTAGTATACCGTTGTTCAAAAGTCATAAATCGATTGAGAGAAAACAAATCCAGGTAACAAACTAAAACCGAGAGAAACACATCAGCTATAAGAGGAAAACAACGAAATAACAGAACACAAAAGTGCAACGAAAACAAACAACAATGCAACATTCATAGAAACGAACTATTAAATAACAACTGCCATATTCCTGACTTGATACAGGACATTTTAAGAAAACATGGTGGGTTGAACCTGGTTTTGTGGCTAGCCAAACCTCCGCGCTTTATGGCAATGTTAAATATACCGCTAAAATGACAACATTACATGACGGGAACAGAGTACAAATAAATGCAAAAACACCAAAGACAGAGAAATACATAAACAAATAATATAAAAGTACATTTCGACATGTTAACCACAGAATAACAACGAATAACTAAAATAATTTAGGACAGTACACAAAAACAGCTTAATAGAATTACGAAGTGTGCGTCTGTAAAAAATGCTTTTTAAATCCGCTTTTCCGGATTTAATTTTTGCAAGCGCTTGTAAATACGTAGAAACGTTAGATGCTATATGACTTAAAGGGATCTAACAACTGCAATATCCAAATGTAAAAAAATGATTTTATTCATGCAAAGGATATACTGTTGAAATTGAATTAATTTGTTTAGTTTGCCGGTAACTTGTTATTTAAAAAGTATCACTAAAATAGCGAATTCCAAGGTTAATTCAATAAGGGGAAGTACATAAAAACTGAGAAAATCAACAGTTATCAATCAACAGAACGAGTGAAAAACAGCTGTACGGGCATTTTCCGAAAATTGTGGTTCAACCCTGGTTTTATAGCTGGCTAAACCTCCTACTTGTATGCCAGTTGATTATAGTTCCGTTATATTGACAAAGTTGGGTGAGCAACCCAAACAGACGTAATAAGTTAATGTGACAATAATTGGGATCCAGAAAACTATGTAAACATACATCACAGTTGACTAAAATAAACATACAAATAAATTTAACAAAGACGTCAACAAAACAGGTGTTGTAGTTGATAGTAAATTGTTTTAAAGGAGTACGAAATGATTTTTTTTTCAACTGAATTAGACGCAGTTATACTTCTCTTTATGCTTCATTGACAAAAAACGTATAACATCATTTCATTTGTAAATGTTTGAAATGCAATTGTCATGCTTAGTTTCATTACATACATATTGCACAACAACTCTTTAATGAGAAATATCAAATAAGAGCTTTATATTGGATATTTAATCTCAGGCATGTATTTATTTTATTTCTTGAGGTCCACTAGTAAAAACAGAAAGAAGAAAAGGAGACAGTATACAACTTCTAAAAATGGTTCGGAGATCCAAGATAATGCTTTATTGGTCATGTTATCTTCTAATAATCCATCATCACCCGGATACGAGAGTCTTCAGTTAAATCATACGGAGTTCTTCGAATATGCACAAACCATGGTTACAGCTGAACAAGATTTAACCGATGACGAGATAATAAATGATCATTGTTCAAAGCAGTTAGCGAATGATAATAATGAAGTTAACCATTATGAGTTCGTTGAAGCAGCAAATTATTCTAAATATGATAAGGGCTGTCCTTGTAATCAAAGTAGTTTTCAGTTTCTTAATTCATCTGAATCTGTATCAAACAATAGTCAATTTAACAGCAACAATAAAATCGAGGAATTATTGCCTGTTAAAAATATTATCTGTGATACCACGATAGATAATCCATATGACACAATTGATCCAGAAGAAACTGGATTCAACAGAAGTAAGTCTAACAACAGTAACAGTAAATTAGAGAAAATTGTCCACGGTGAATACCCAACTCAAAGGAAAAGTACAGGTAATGCATACGCCGTGCTTGATCCTAAGGAAACTGGATTTTACAGAAGTAGTTCTTGCAACAGTAACAGTAAATTAGAGAATATTGTCCATTGTGAAGATCCAACTCAAAGGGAGAGTACAGGTAATGCATATGCCATACTTGATCCAATAGAAACTGGATTTTACAGAAATCATTCTTTAGACAATGAACTGGTGAAAGTATTTCCCGGTGATGACCTCAACCAGAAGGATAACAGTACAGTCAATCCATATGCCATACTTAATCCAGAAGAAACTGGGTACAGTAGAAGCAAAGTAGAGAACTGCAAACGCGCTTGCAGTGAAACTACTAGAATAGATCCTCCAGGATTAGCTTTTGATAACAGAATGGAGGATTATACACAGAATGCATACTCAGTTCTTGATTCAGGAGAAACAGGATTTATCAGAGGTCAGGTTACAGTTCAAATGAATGAAACATGTCATACAAATAATGAATATGATTTAAACAGTTGGACTTACCTTGCAAAATGAGCATTTTATAATAGCTACTTATGTTAATTTGAACGGATGCAGACAAAACCGTATAGAATAACTGTTTCAAAAATAATACTTACAACTACGAAGATGCATATGATCATGTCAGTGTAAAAAATATATGAAATTTTAGGTTGACCATTTACTTTGAAGAGTAGCAATATTTTAATACTAAATATGCTATTGAAAAAGTAACAATTATTTTTATTCTCCAACTCATGGAGTGGATGGTATATAGCACCAATTCGTCTTTTCTTTACAGTTCGTCTGTCCGTTAACATTATTATCTTTAATTATTTATGTTTTCTATGTTTAGGACTTTCACTCTTTATAGACGAAATTTTAATTTTTTATTACACCCACTGAACATAAATTTTTAATTCATAATTTCCAGCTTCTGTTTATAGATTGATTTGATTAGGAACTTAACAATATTGAATTGTACCATGTGATCGAAACTATTTGGCGAAACTTTGAATTCTTATTGTACCCACCGAACTTGGGATGTTTTGTTATCTGTATTAACTGATTTAATATTAAGTTGAGTTGTACCGTATATAAATTTATCAAAGATACAAGGCTTGTGATGAAGTAAGCAAGACGCGCGGTTCGTTTACATAAGACTCGTCAGTGGCGCTTGACTCAAAACAATTGAAAAGCCAATCAATTATGAAGTTGGAGAGCATTAAAAACTAAAAATTCAAAAAGCTGTGATAAATCTGGCTAAGGAACAGAAAAACAGAGCGTTTTGAATTATTTTAACATTTTATGAACAGTTAATTTCCACATCACATGATCACATCAATTATATGTCATGTGAGCATAGGAGCGCTGACTACAGGTTTTATCATACACAGCAATTTTCAGATTATGTAGAGTTGTTATTACACTTGATCAATATCATTTTTCGTCTTTCAGGCTGTCTCGCCATAACGAAAGTCACGAAGACCAGATTTTATATGCGAATCTAGATTCCGGCGTCGTTGGCGTCGTCATCATTTTGGTAGTTTTTTTAAACATTAATCACTTTGTCAAAACTTCATAGAACTTTAGTTATAACAACTCAACAAAGATACTATAGGCGTATAATTTGGTACGCCAGATGCGCGTTTCGTCTGCAAAAGACTCATCAGTGGAGTTCGAATCAAAACAGTTAGACGGTCAAATAAGATACGAAGTTGAGCATTCAAAACCCAAAATTCCGAAAAGTTTGAGTTCTTTTAGCTTCGCAAATAAAAGTCGGTTCAATGAACTGTTAATACTGCTGATGATTTTCATTTGCCAGTGTACAATTGAAATTACTTAACTCAATGATAGAGCTAATTCTCTTTAACGGTTTTGAGGTTTGGATTTTTTTCTAATTTGAAATTTTGTAAAAGAATACTTTGACTAAGAAATACCACAGCTAGTTTATTGTGTATGCAGAGTTGGGAGGATTTCCTCTGAATAGGATTGGGAATGTGCCAAAGAGACAACAACCCAACCAAAGATCAGAAAACAGCCCAACTATTTTAATCAAATTTATAAGTATTTCCTTCTACTTTAGAATTGTAAATAATGAAAGTAATCTAAGTAATACAAGTGCTTTCTATAGGTTGATGTTACCTTAGAAAAATCAAGGTCATAATATTTTTGAGTCGACAAATTTTAAACAATAGAAATTAAATAACTTGTTTAGATTGTTTCACTAATCTTATTGGCTTTTGTGATAAAAATTGTCTTGATCGAATATTGTGTGATCGTTTAACTACCGCTCAGGGATTATTTTACTGGGTACAGCAAAATAGGACCGGATTCTCTGAATACGTGCCTTTAATTTTTTGTCCCCTGACAATCCAAATAGGATTTCTTGATCTCACAGGTCGTACAACAGACATTGGGCTATTTATATTGTTAAGTCTTGAATGCAAGAAACAAAAACACGAAACAGAAAAAATATGATAGTAAATATTGAAGCCTACAAAAAATCAAGTTTTCATATTTTTACTGCAACTTTTCGGTCAAATCAAAACTAAACTTTGAAAAAATAATGTATTCAAAAGTGAAAATAACACTATATACATTTGGTGTGTCCGAAGCGCTTTTCTGGATTTACCTTCATCGGGAACACTTATACCCCAAAAATTAAAAGACAAGGATATAGAGGTACCGAACACGTTATGAGCTGTATGACCATAGCGAACCAAAAAAGACTTGCTAAATCCACCTAAGGTCAAGTTTGCCTGCGGGAGTGGGAACCTTAGTGTTTTAATAATTTCTGTAATTTAATCAATTTAAGAAAGGTATGTTATAAATCATGACAGTATCGGTGCACTGAGCTGATGATACCCTCGGAGATTCACAGTCCATCAGGAGAGGTACGAACAGTGCTGGAAAAATGACATAAACACTATAAATTTGCAGTATCCGAAGTTTTTTTTCTGGATTTATCTAAATCATGAACACCCAAACCCTAAAATGTGAAAGCCAAAGAAATATAATTACTGTACATGAACACGTGAAGTGCTATAGGAACAAAACTTTGCCTGAAGGGAGTTGAAACCATAGTTTCTTAATGATCTCAGAATTTCAACAAAGAAATTAAAATAGGGTTTTTTAGAAATTATATCAGTACCAACTTACTGAATACTGAGCTGATGACACCCTCGGGTACTAATTGTACACCAGCAGCGGTATCGACCCAGTAGTAGAACGTAAAAATAATACTCCTAGTATATAAATGTAGTTCGTCCGTAGCTGTATTCTAGATTTACCTTCTTCTGGAACGCTCAAACCCACAATTGTAAAGTCATGGAAATAATAATACCTAAACACATTAACCAGGACATCAAAGAATAGCTAAATTCGTCTAAGGTCACTTCTTATTTTTGATCAGCTGATATACATGGCAATTGGAGGCAAACAAAAATCTGATATATCATGAGACTGAATAATTTCTGTTTGGATAGAGACTGATTATCTATGATAATCGCCAAAGATACCGGGTGTGTTAATTTTTGGAGGTTTAATATGAAGAGCTTAAACCATATAGAAAACTATTGAAACATCAATTTGTGCAATGGAGTATATATGAGATAATCAGTGGTCAATGGGTTTTTTGTGCAATCAAGATGATCCCAGTTACTATAATAGAAGTTTTCAGAAAAACATTATAAAGAATATATTCATTTTTTTTTTCTCATTGACCTTTATAGGGCATATATAGTTTTCAATTCACACTCCATGATCCCCTTCTACCCTGAATATGTTATGCAGTGGCATTATCAATATAATAGAACGGTTTTCCTATCTGAGAGAACTACATCCTCTTCTTTAATCAGACTAGGTCTGATTAAACCTGAACTTCTTTCACTCGCACTAGCTGGGTCCAATATATTTGATTTGTTTCTTATAAAAGGTCGACATGTAAAAATCATTCTCAAATTGTTATATAAGTGTTATAAGTTGTATAAATACAGTTAACTTTAAGTCGCTTGTTGAGGAACTTGTGATGTCAATAATGATTTTGGCAAGACTGATATTGTACATTTCAAACCATCAGTGTCGAATAGAAAATAAAAAAATAATGTCTAAACCTATTCAAACTACCTTTCTAAGGTGATTAGTAATAATAATAATAATAATAATAATAATAATAATAATAATAATAAAAACACGAGGATATGTAAAAAACGTATGTTATAAATCATGTAAGTTCCGAATCACTGACTACCGAGCTGATGATACTCTCGGGGACTAACAGTGCACCAGCAGAGGTATCGGACCAGTGCTAGCAAACAAAAATAACATATTATAAATTTTGTCAATTTAAAGCCCTTTTCTGGATTTACCCTTCATCAGGAACGCTCAAACCTAAACATTTGAAAGCCAGGGATGTATAAATACTTAGAAATGTTAGGAGCTATGTGACCAAAGGGGGCATGAACAAAATAGCCAAACCTATCTTAGGTAATTTTTGCCTAATGGCGTTGGAACCTTAGTTTCTTCATAATTTCTTAATTTAGCAATTGTAGAAACATATAACATAAACCTAAAAAATAGATTAAACTGATGAACCTGTTATCTGATTTTCAAATATTAACTCGTTTCCTAAATTAAATATATTTAAAGTATGTTTTGTGTTTTCGCAACGTTTTAACAGATATCAATAAATAAATCATAGTTAAAAGGGTATTTTATATTTCTGTTTAACTCTTTTTCCTCAAATAACTCGTCATTGAAACGCGATGACATTGCAAAATAGTACGATTCAAACTTCTTTTTACGCTGCCGATGCACAACTTGTATTTGATTTTACTTAGGTATAATGTACATTTACTACATCGTATCTGTGGTGATGTAAAGCATAATTTGTGGTACTTCATGTATCTTAGATTTTATCAATGCAAATCTGACTAATCCCTCATTTTAGGTACATGTATTTACACAATAATAAATTTATGACGATCTAATCATAATAAGGAAGTCAATTTATATTACCAGCGGAAACAACAACTTGTTAGTAAAAAAATGGTAAAAATGATTTTGCAAGTATACTACCTCTTAGTCTTTGCAAGAGAAGTATTTCATATTGAGATAAATAGTAAGTTACATATTTTTTATAGGTTTTCAATTCATTTTATTATTATTTATCATTTTTTGTGTCATGGATGTGAAAATATCTGTTCTATAAATCGTACAGATGTTAAAGGGGAGGAGCCAGTCTGTACTACAACTTCCACTCGGTGACATCAAACGGTCACCTGCAAAAACTTTTTAAAAATTCAAAATTAAACATTATTAATTATATATACCTACGTTTGAAAAAAATCATTTTCTCTAATCTTTTGCAATTAACAAAATATAGCAATGATCACTTAATAATTACATCTGTTATCAATTCATTTAAAACAAGAGGTTGACAAACTACAGCAAACCCTAAATAAGCTTGACCTCGGCAATTTATTTTGTCCAATATTGAAATTTGAAGAATCATTGTTTCAACGGTTCTCAAGCTATTAAGCAGAAAAAGCTAGTGCCGAACGATACCCCATCCTCCATCCGCCGCCCAGGACTGATCATCATATTTTCGTAAATTAAACCCTGCGGCTATTCTACTTTTTTTACTAGTTTTATTACTAAACGGTGCATTACTATTTTTTCTGACTTTGTTCCACTCAGTCACTGGATTTAATCCAGAAAGTTTTTGAAACTAGTGATTTTTTGCTTTAGGAATTTAGAAAAATTTTCCTATGTGTCTAATTGCGCTTAACACTAAAATTTCAATGATTATTTAAAATTGCTGTCACTATTTTGAGAGAAAATGTTTAAGTAAAAATTTTATCACACATGTATAGGGTTCAACTTGGTCGATTGACTTTTGCGTAAACGACTAGTGATCCTTGTTATGGAATAGTTTTTGAAGAAATTTTAAGATTGGTTAAATCAAAGACGAGAAAGGGTTATGTAAAGGATAATAAATGGAGACCTACTGACAAAAACATCCAAAAGACATCTAGAGGGCAACATACAGCCTTCAACAGTAG